GCTACCAAAACCTTGCCATGTAGACCCGTTATAGGGACACCACATTTCTTTGGTTGAAGTGAAAGGTGCTTGAACTGTGCCATTGAAGTCAACGGTCATATTTTCACTGGGTTCAGTGGATCCATGTGTCAGTCTGCAAAGGCTTACAAAGCACATTTGGAGCTGGTCGTGAGCATTTTGATAAAACAGGATTTTACCAAAGTTTGCCAGTTACACAGTTTGGATTTAACTGAATATGAAAAACCCTCACAGATTTATTAACTGCCTTCCTTCAAATCCCTGAGTGGTTTCTTACCCAGCTGAAAAGCTCAGACTCTCAGATCAACCTTTTGGAACCGTCTTCCTATTTAAGTTTCCCAGCACTAGGAACATTAGGATCCATGCTCCCTGCATGAGGCAGAGATGGAAGAGCCCCAAAACCCTTAGATCTAACTGTTCGACTGTTCTTGGGTTGGAGGAGTGATGTGTGAGTCCAGCCATCCCCCAGCTCCTAGCACGGAGCCCAGGAGCTTTGGCAGAGCTTACACGGGCTGTCCTGCTGCTTCCAACCCTGCCACAAGGACCATGAAGCACTGTGTGCTCCTGAGCAATGTGCGTGTCCAGACTTCTTGTCACACAGCTGGAAGCCTGAAGATCCCCAGATAGGCTTCTACACTTGACACTTGACTGCTGCAGTTCTGGGCAGACCCACCATGATGGCTGCCCCAAGCAAGGTCAACACACAGCATCGGGAGACAGGGTCTCTTGGGCTGCGTAGCCCTGCATGCTTATTTTGCCATGGAGCCTGCCAGCCCTGATGCCACAAGTGCCAAATGGATGCGTGGGTCTGCTGCACAGCAGCAGGGCTGCAAACCTGTGCCCTAGCAGGCACTAACTGCGGTTTGGTGGTCAGGCTGCAATCAACTAAAAATACAATTTCAGCTGGTGGCTGCTGAGGTTTTAGTGAGCACATGCAGCTTGAGGAAAAATGTGTCATTATTTCTGCTCTATTAAAAAAGACACCAACAAACAAATCCTGGTTCATGGGAACTTTCGAAATACTGACATTTCCCTTGAGCGGGAAACCCAGAACTGTGGCTGGCTCTGGTTCCTGCAGCTGTCCTGGTGCCTGGCAGTCCCCACAAAGCTACACTTAGAGCCTTCTGCTTGGTCTTTGACCTTTCTGCTGAGCAAAGTGGTGGGGCTGAGAGGGCCCAGAGGCTTTGCTCCCAGCTGTCTGGCACATGAACTGCCCTTGGAGGTCCCTGGCTGCAGGAGGGTTAGATGAGGCTTGGGGTCTTGGTGGCAGCTCGTGGAAAGGGATTTCTCTCTTTTCTGATATCTGCATTTTTTCCTGCTTGAGGGATGTAAATTAAATGTAGAAAGGTTTCTTTAAAGAGGGGGCAGCCTTTGTGTTTCACTGGATATGAGAGCTACTTTCATTAATAAAGAAAATACAGAGGTGATCATAAAATCTGCAAAAATTTTGCTTAGTACAACTCTGCAAGTTCATTTGGTGAGAATTATCTTACCTCATGTATATACTGGGAGTTCTCATGAGTTTGGGGGAAATATTTCAGATTAAAGTGGGATTTCTGAGTTTCCTGCCTTTACAGCTGGAAAATGACATCATTTGTCACACTAGCCATGGGGGGGTGTGTGTGTGTCGTTCTATCAGAGATGGGAAAACCATTTCCCAGGTTTTGAAACTTATTCCAGGGCTACTTTAACTAAAAAGGTCATTCCATTTTTCAAAAAACCTAAACCAATCAACCAAACAAACAAAAAACCCCTGATGTCTTCTTTTCTGGTTTGTTAAAATTATAAGGGATGGAAACTGCCCTTTCATCAGTAACAATCTTTCAGCAATCTTTACCCATAGTTGGGCAATTTAAACTACTAATTTTTACTTATAAGTGTTCTTCTAAAATAATAAGTCCCTCATATTAGAGTGCAAATCTCAATTTTTGTGTAGGCTGCTTGTCAGGGCTTGAATGCGTTTTTTGGCCTTTTACTATACCATTAGTACCACTGCAGGCCAGCATTTGACCTCTTCTCAGTTTTACTGCCGTGTTTGTTAAACCAGTCCACCAACTTCAGGTACAGAGCAAGAAGTGAAGCACTTGGTGGAAAGGTTGTCATGAAAACAGTGAATTTCATGATGGTGAACAGGAGCATCACAAGATGTATGCAAGTCTTAAACTCCCCCTGAACTTTTGGACTTGCTATGAGAAAAATGCTTGCATCAAAACCACAGACCTGAATTTCTTCTTCTTCCCCCACCTTTTCTCTCAACCCTTGGCCTGAACTTTTTGCACAATGCAGCTCTCCTCGCCAATCTGAATTTTGCAGTTACGGGAGGATGAATCAGACCACTGAAATTCAACACTCCTCGGCTCTGGAAGAGGGTGGAACTGGATCCCAGCTGGGGGACGGTGCTTCTGACGATTAATTACCTTTTTTCAAAGGTCATCTCTGCACCCTGATTCTTCTTATAATTTTTAGTTTCTTTTGAATTTGTTACATTTTATTTGCAGCAGTCTCAGGCTACTTGGGTTAGCTTCGACAAGCCAAGAGCGCACTCCAAAAGAAAATCTAAAGTAACTCTTAGCTGAACTGTCAGCCTCTTTTCTAAAAGACATGTATTGCAAGGCTCCTCTGAACTGGCAATGCATATTAAAACCATTGCCTGCTGTCTGAGATTTGTTTGTGGTGATGCAATGACAGTAACTAAATGGACTGAAAACACATTACTGAAATATTCTATTCTGTGGGCTAAACCCAGTGGATGGTCTTAAGGGCCTGGCCCTCGAAATGAAACACAGACCCCTGTGTTGGTTGTCTGCTCTCTGTACATAACCCGAGGGGAGAGTTAGGTGCTTTGGGATATGATCCCAGAAGTCAGCTTTGGACCGCTTTGGCCAGCTCCCGTCTCAGCAGAGAAATCCTGAGGGTGAGGAGTTATTTTAGGCTGCCAGTGTCACATGCAGTCTGCTATTAGGGATGTACTATCTTCTTTGAATGGAAAATGAGACCTCTCAGACCTCTCCTGAATAATGCAACATGGGCTCCAAATTAGCAGCTGGAGCAAAACAAAGTATGTCTGGAAGATGTGGAGGCTGCTGTACCACCTCTGACTGGCAGTCCAGTGTTTAGGGCATATGTCCAGCAGTGAGAAAAGGATCCAGTGATTTCCTCACCCTGAGGTCAGCCTCTCTCTCACACACACACACACACACACGAGTCCTGCCTTGCAAGATTTTATCTGTCTCTAACCTCGGCTACCCTGTTGAAAATGGGGAAACTTTGGGTAGGTGGAGGGTTGCCAACTTCAGTGGTGCAAGAATGTAAAAGCAAAACACAAAGCACACATGGAGCTAAAGCCACTCCGAGTTTAGGTGTAGCTTAGCAAGTGTTTATAAAATCCCATACTTGGTTTTAGGTGCCCAGATCCTTACCTCAGTGTCTTTATAGGTGATCAGACCTGTGGCTCTGACCTGGCACCTTGTCCACCCTCACTGATACTCTGAGATCGCTGCTGTGAATCTTGCCCTGTTAATCTCTCCCTTTCCCTTTCAGCATCGCTGACTGTCATTGCTGTAAAGGCTGTGGCCAGCATGATAATACTCTCTGCAAAGGGGAAAATGCAGCTAACTTACCCTGTTTTCTATATCATGATTGTTTTAATGGCAACTTCTTGTGCTTTCCAAGTCAAGTAAGTAAGATTCTACTTATCTTCTCACCTTCATACACATTTTATCTGTCAGTTTTAATAGGTACTGGTATCAACTCCAGATACAAGTTGCACTTAAAGGCAGCAATTTCCTGGCAGAGCCTTGACAGATGCATGAATTGCCTACAGCTGATTGCACTGTTTATTCAGGCTTTCTTTCTAAGTTTATAGTTTATCATTATAGATGCTACCTCCTCTCATTATCACCTTATAGAAAGTCTTCCCAAATTTACTTCTAGTTTTGGCATAGGTCTTGAACCCATTAAATGAAATTTACGTTTATATAAATTTTGAGGGTTACTTTTAGAAACTTTCATTGCTGAATAATCAAAAGGCCATGTTTACCCTCATTATACATCTCTTTTCCCCAGCTTTTGTCACTAGTCAGACTGAAAAAGAGAGTTTATCCCAACTTTCTCCCTGCTTCTGTTAAATCTGCATGTTGTGCTTTGCTACCCTGTATGTCTGTATGTTTTTAGGAAATAGTTAACTTCTGGTGTGCAGGGGACATCCAAGATTTCCCCGCTGGCCTCTGGCCTGTTAAGTGATTGTTTTATGCTGCCTTTGCAGACTGCCGGGGGCGGCAGCATGGTAAAATACGGCCTGCAGCTGAACAGAAAGTCCATTCCCTTTATGCTGGTCCCTCTGCTTCAGGTGCTGATAGCATCATTCAGTAATCTCATCTAGACTGCTCCAGTGTGAGTCTGAGTGTTTACTTGCATGATTATTTTCCTGTAGAAGAGCCAACTCAGCTTTCTCGTGGCAGAACACACTATTCCCATGTGGAATCAGAAAATCCATGTGTTATTATGCAGTGACTCTCCATGGCTGACTCAGGAACTCCCCTGTAACGGATTATAGAGTGATTTACATCCAGCTTATCTTCACTGGGAGAACAGCTCAGGGCATTTAAAATAGGAAATAAAAGCTTGGTAAAGAGGAAGCTGCTGAGTTAACATCTCCTTGCCAATTTTTTCTTTCTTTCTTTTGCTGGGTCAAAATTGGAATAGAAGTGAAATATGCCCATTTCATTCCCTGGGCTCAATGTCTCTTTCTCTCTTCTCTCTTGGACACATTTTCTAACGGAAACAGTGTTGTCAGTCTAAATTTTTCATTCTGTTTGTTTCCTCTTCTTTTATTTGACTGTAGTGTGTTAGCTCAGAACAGCCTGTGCTGGAACATCCTCCTGGATTTAATGCTGAGCCTTGGTATCACTGTTTTAGTCCCTGCAACCAAATTTGTTGCAAATGGGAGAAAATAATGAAGTGTTTTCAATGACTTCAAAATCCTGACTATCCTGTGGATATGCAGGATTTCTTTATTTTTAAAGCACCATGGAGACTGTTCAACAGTTGCTAAAATAACTATGCAATTACTTTAATGGCTAAAACAGATCCAAGCTTGGATTTTTACTGTGCACATATATTGTACCACTGAAACATTTAAGTGTGGTTCTTTTTATAGGTTTTGAATACACTCTGCAGCCTCCTGATATTTCTCTTTCAGTCTGAAATGCACCGTTCACATAACAGAGTATCTGCTGGTGCATCTGAGAGTTCACACTCATGATTCACCACCCTATGAGCAACTCTGTACAAGTGGGTTAATTGCTTTGCCTTTTTCATCCACTGATGCAGACTGTGCAGGCTGCTCCACGGCCAATGCAATGGTCCTCCAGGTTTGTGTGCAGCATATGCTCCTGTGTTCTTGCACGCTCTTGCTCACAATTCTGGTGAGGGTTTGTGTTGCCTTTCTGAGCTGCACAGCAGAGAGTTTCCAACCCAAGGCGCACAGGCTTGGAGCCACCTTCCTGGACTTTCCCGGCAGGACAGAGTTTGTCTGGGGTATAATTGCATGGATAAACATACAAATACATGTTTTAGCCAAGCTGGATTGAGCAGTAGCAGCAACGTGGACTTCAGCAAAGTGAAACAATTCCTACAAGAACTTGCATGTTCATGTCCATGCTGGACATATACCCTCACACGACCTGTTTAAATTAGAGTGACTTGTCCCTGGCTGCTCACAGGCAGCACTGCTTCCAAGAACCGATGCAGACCATAAGCAGTAATACCCTAGCATTCCTCCCTTATCTGTGGCAGACAAAATTTTTCCAACAGTGCTTCAGAGGGCTCTCCAGTGACAGCTTATGGCCAGAAAAATCCACGCCAACCTCTTGCTTTCGCCTATTTGTTTGTACTCTGCATAGTCAAAACCAGAAGGTAAATTCTATACACATGCACATTTGTCCAGGGCTACTTGCTATTGTGGTAAGAAATGGTCACACTTGTTGTTAAACTGACATAAAGTGGCTTAACCTGACTTAAAGTGCAATGAACTTCCTCTAGGTATGAGGTGCAATAACGGTTGTCTTCCAGGTTCTTGAATCAAGCAACACATCTGTATGAAGCAACAGCAGTTGTGCCCATTAATTTTGTGTTCTTCACCACCAGTGCCATTATTTCAGGTTTGTTTCTGGCCTTCTGCCTCTACAGAATGATTTTCTAAACATCAGGTTTTCAAGAATTACTGCCTGTGATCAGGAACACAAATCAGTTATGTTTAACTTCACAAAAAAAGATGCTTTTCCTAAGTGACAGGTGTTTAAGTTCCGAAAAATGAGTAAGTTCACAACTTTTGAAGCAAAATAAAAATAATCAAATTTTAGGATTTTCAGAATTGATACATACGGTTTACTGTGCCTTGCTGGCTTGCTGGAAGTACCTGCATTTATCCTAGCCTCATCTTGACATCCAGTAAATGCATTTACCATGTGCACACCAACCTCTCTGTATCCAAACTGGTAGAGTAATTTTAACAGCCTGGCAAAATACTCAAATGACAACCAGCTGTGTTTCATAGCAGTTAGTGTATATTCCATTTCAGAAGGTGGAATTCTAGGTTAAGTGAAGGAAATAAAATTACTCCAAAGACTTTTTAAGCATTTAACATTTTATTCTGGGTGAGAACTTTGAACTCATTGTTAAAGAGGGACTGCAAATCTTGGAAATGGTGCACAGTGTAAGAACATGAGCAGGGAGGACGACTAAGATGCTGTATCAGCAATGAGCCAAAATGATCGTGTTGTTAGAACATTTATGACTCATTTTAACACACACTGGGGGCTTTCCTGTCATTGCTGTGCAGGAGTTTCTCATGCAGAGCTGCCATTAATGAGAAGGGGAGTTAGCTTCGCACACAGATTGCCTCAGCACCTGTGTTAGAAGAGACCTACACTTTGTGACTGACAAGACTTGTGCCAAAAGAGGGTTGTGGTTTTGTGACCATATGGGGAATTTGGCCTTGTGCCTCCTTAAAAGATCAAGTACCTATCCAGGAATGGCTTAATAGATTTGAGACTGAATACACATGCATTTGCGCCCGGTTAGTTAAACCAGTGCAGAGCTTAGAACAACCTCTGCTGAATTTTTCTGGGGTGCTCGTAGAAGGTACCTCATCACATGATTCCCCCAACCCCAGTTACAGCCTTTGAAGATACAGCCACATTTCAGCTGTGCTGGTTCACTCTTTGACATTTCTAAGCAAAACTATGCTCATCAGTGGTTTAAAGCCAATATATCAGTGGTTTAAAGCCAATATATTTGGCTGTGAATTGGGGCAGCTGAGATCCAGATAGACATCTGGTTCTGTCACCTCCACTGCAGAGCTGCTAATTCCTGGAAAAGCGGTGACCAGAAAGAGCTAGTGGTCTCTTCAGCCAGAAAGATTTGGCAAACTTGGCTGCTGGAGTCCTTATTTCAGTGTAAACATCAGGGACACAGCTAGTTATCGAAAAGCTGTTCCCAACTGGAGTTAAGATGTTCATGTGGTCTGTTGGAGTGGCTTAACTGAATCCGTGAAGAACCTGTCAGCTATATTGGTATGACTCTGCTTGTGAATAAGACCTTGAGTTTGACCAGCATAAAAACTGTTGCTGACAATGCAAAAAATACCTGCATCTGTGCAGTTACTAACACAGCACATGCGCCGAGCTGATAGACTAAATCTTCTCCAGTCCCATGCAGTATCTTGAGAAAGCCGAGATAATGGAATATGGGCATATAAAGTGTATTACAATGTATCACAATGTGTATTAATACCTTACTTGGGATTCTTTTGCTCCATTTGAGCATAACACTGCTCCTGACCCTCCCAGCTGTAACTCATATCACTTGGAAGCCAGTCAAGATCTGCAATTCTTGTTTCTGTCACATTCCAGGGGTCATATTTTATCAGGAATTCCAAAGTGCAGCTTTGCTGAGCGTGTTCATGTTTCTGTTTGGGTAAGTGTATTGGCCTAAAATCTGCACTAACTTTTGTAGTGAAACAATGTTGCCTTACGGAATCCCTTCTTTTCTCAGTAAGAAGAAACCCATCTTGTTATTAAAGTATTATGGAATAGCCATTATAGTAGGATAAAAAAAACATTAAAGGAAAGATTGATGTCTGTGCTTTGGGAGTTTGGAGGCCTGGTTCTGAATCCAAATATGTAAAAATGTGAGACACTTATGAACTACTAATCTCATGATGGAATGAAAAAACAGCAGCATGTGTTCCTCCAGCAGGAAGGAGAAATCACTGCTTTCCACCAAAGATCATGTTATAGGGGGTGCTTTTACAACTGCAAGAAATCCCCTCCCATGTTACCTTCCACTTGCATGTCCGGCTAGTCTTTGCTGCCACTAGGCAAGGACAATTGTATGAGTCACTTGCCTACAAGGCAGTACTATAATAACTCTCCCCCATCTTTATGTGCCAAGAAAGACACACTATGCCTGCAGACAAGTTCAGAGCATACTGAGAAGTTGTTAACAATAAATGTTTAAAGAAGGCCTTAGGTGTTGTGAGAGCAGAAACCTTCTGCTGGCTACCAGCACTATAACAATTATGGGGACAGGTGATAGTTACTCAGTGATGGGTGTGAGGTGGTTAGAAGCAGCTCCCAGAACTGTTGGAGGTGTCTTGCCACAGTGCTGTCACATGAATGGGGCTGATAGCTACAGACATTTGTCCTCAGCTGTTGGACTGGAGTAGGTGCGCGCAACCGCTATCTTGTCTGACTGCAGGAAAAGTGACAAAAAATGAAGATGAGCAAATTCAACCCATGCATTTGGCAGGCAGGAATTAGTGGTTGTGTGTCCAACACAGAGCGGATAGAAGGTTTATCCAAGCATAGCAGTTTTTCATTGCGCCTGGCTTACAGCTTGCCCCTGAGACACACAGTCAAAGGAGAAAAACAACAGAAATGTTGATTGTCTGCAGTCAGACTGAGTTGTTAATGAAGTTGCAAATGCTAGAGTGCTAGCTTAGATGCTCTGTGAAGATTTGTTCAGCGATTCAAATGTTGTGGTCTCACAACATAATTTGATTAGGTATATATTGCTGAAAGTGTAATTTTGCCTGCGGAGCCTTTGGAACTGATAATAAAGCTTCAGGAGGCAAAAACTAGACTGAAAGGGGGCCCAAGATGAATTTATAGAGCTGTCAGGAAGAAAAGTTTCTTTATAAACAGAGCAGCTTGGGTTTGGAAGTCCTTGAAAAAGAAACATGGAAAGAAACTGTCGTCTCAGATGCAGTGAACTGTTGCTAATGATACTATGCCACTGTTATTTTGCAGGTGTCTCCTGTCTTTCCTTGGTGTATTTTTAATTGCAAGAAATAAAAAAGAGGAGCATTTACAAATTTCTTTTATTGACTGTGGACATATTCCTGGTAAGTAGGGGGTTTTTTCTGTCTTTGTTTAAAAATGAAATATCAGATAATGGGATGACTTAGGAGAGTTGAGTCACAAATGTACTCCTGTCATATTTAATAAATATACTGTTCCCTTAATTTCTATTCCTGTTCCCAACAGATTTTTCAAATAATTTTTCAGAGTTTTTCCAAGCTATTGTTATAACCAGTCAAATGAAAACAATGATTACTGGAGCAAAGAATGTTTAAATGATGGATTGGTGGGGGATTTGTTTTATTAAAATTCTTCACAGAGTTGTTGTTTTTCCTTTCTCTCACCCCATTTCCTTAGGACAAAAATTGACAGACAAAATACAACCAGATTCTCACAGTTCAAGCTATGGCACTTTGAATAATGAAGATAACTCGGTGAAAAGTCAAAGCTGAAAGAAGAAAGCACCTTACATGTCAACTAACAGGAGGAACGCCACTGGAACAACAATCAGCAGCACCTTTTTTGTTGGACATATTCACGTACATGTTGAACTCCTGTATGTTGATGAGTCAGAGTATTATTTAATCCTACTTAATTTTTCCCATGGTTGTCCCAAATGTGTTCTGAAGATAAAGGAAACCTTAAGAAAAACTAAATAACCATTAATGAAATGGAACATTCTGCTAGTATCAGTGCCTCTTGGGGATATTTTTAGAGTCTTAATTGCCTTGAAATGCAAATAGGCACAGAACAGGATTATAAAAATTCCCCTTTGAAGCCCCTCAGATCTGTGTAGACGCTTAAAGACAAAGGTGGGAAATTATGAGAATTTTCATAAAGTGACTTCAAAGTATTCTGCTATATGTATAATACTTTTAAAAATTGATCCTTCCTGCTCAGGGAGTCAAAACTGTGGGCATACATACAGTATACACAAATACATACACACAAAGTATTTTATATTATGTGTAGAGGGAAAATCCCGATTATCTTCTGCCATCAGACTAATTCTCTTATCTTCCAAGGAAACAAACACTTGTGTGAGGAGGAGGAACGAAGAGAGCATTTGCCATAAACTGGTACATGCAGGCACATGCATGCATTTGAGATGCACAGCCAAGGCAGAGCTAGGGAACCACGCTTGACATTCTACATTCTCCTATGCACTGGGCTGGGCCATGCTACCTGTTAGTATAGGCTAGCCTGAGGTTTAGCCTCTGTTTTCAGAAAAACAAGGTTTCAGAGAAGTGCAAAGTTCTCCAGAGGCAATGGGGTAGCCAGGCTACTTCCCTTGATGTGTCTTGGAAAAATACTCATAAAAAAGGAAAGTAAGGCAACTCCTGCTCCCTTCCTAAATCACTGGTAATCCTGCATGAGGAAAGGCTGTAAAAAACAGGATCACAAAGAGTCATGGTAACGCTACAATTTTTCCTTCATTAAATGGTAGTGTCTCCTCACTGATTTGAAGAGCCAGCAGTGATGGGAACCATGGCAATATAGGCTCTGTGTTCAGGTCTGGGAGGTCTCAGTGTCGGTCAGTCCCAGCCTTCTGGCAAGAAAGCTTCTTTTGGGCGTTCATCATGGGTCCACTTACCCCTGCCTGGTAGTAGTGATCTACCTCAGCCAGCACAGTGGGGGTCAGGCACCTCCTCTGCAGAATCCAAAGAAAGTGCTCTTGAAAAGCATTTGCATCTTGGAAAAGATATGTAGTTTAGGTTTGAATTAATCTGCAGTAATGGACAGGGGCCATAGGCTGTGTGTATTTTGTTTTAGTGGGATACGAGGAAAAGAGGCCTCTTTTTTTTTTTCCCCAAATGATCATTTATTTCAGTTTAAAATAGGTACAGCTGAAGATCCATAAGACAGTTTCATTTCAATACCTACAAAACACACATAAAGCTGCAGTTTTTCCTCTGCAGCGATGTCCCAGGAGCCAGGGCGTGGGGAGGGGGGCTTGTGAAGCTGTTTTGCAATGTGGATCTTTTCCAGCTGGCACAGGACAAGACTCTGTGTCTGCACCTTACTTGTACCAGCTGCCTGGCCATGGCCTTCCTTTCCCCTCTTACAGCTTGAGTTCAAGTTTCCAAAGCTTAAAATGAAAAAACCACATTCTTTTCGTATGCTTTCTCCCTGGAGTAAAGGCATGCCTCTATCCTTCTTTTGCAAGTCAAATTTAAGTCGCTTCTCAAGTGAGAGTGTGCTAAAGATGGAAATAAGAGACCTACAGGTTTTCGTTCTGTGACCTGGGAAACAAATGAGTGAAAGGATTTGGTTTTGTTTCTTTTTTAAGTGTTTGGCCTTGGGTATCTTTCTGAAATTGGTTTCCATGACTCAGGAGGGCTGAAGGAGGTAACAAGGGTTAGGATATTCTCTTTAAAGCAAGAAATCAAACGTAAAAATCTGTGGCAAAAGTTATTATTTATTTTAAACTACTGCATTTCTTCTTGAACAATACTATTTTTCTTCCTATGGGTTTATACAAAAATTATAAGGGTAAAAATGTTTTCTTTAGACTCAAATGTAATTGAAATTAATTTATGGAGTAAAACACTGGTAGGAATTATGTGCAATTAAAAGTTGTGATTTGACATGATTTTTGAGATGTGAGCACATTCCAACTAATTAATGTATTACAATACTGGAAAAACTCAGTGATGAGAATTCATTACTCTGCCAAGTAAGCGACAGCGACATGAACTGTTTCAAGAATCAGTTTCTAATCACTGTTGTCTTCAGGTTTTGCTTGCAGTATTTAAGTTGCAAACACCACAGACAAATGCCTGCTAAAAGAAAAGCCTTTTCACTGGAACACAAAAGGTCTCTGGAGCCCTTCTCTTTAATAATGAGTTATTTCCTTGCAATGTTTTTCCTGCCATCAAAAATGTGGACCAGATAAGCCACAAAACTTGCACCTGCAGATTGAACTTTCTTGAACAGATCCTCCACGGAATCTGAGGAAATCAAACCACGGGAAGGTGTGGTGGGCCGGCAGCAGCTCATGTGGTCCCCCAGGCTCCAGCTTGGGATTTTTGACAGACCAGAACCAGCAGGACTTGTTTAGTGCTTGTTCCACTGCTGGTCACGCTGCAGTAAGAGATGAAGTATTAACTGGCCATGGGCCTGGAAATGGGAGCTCTGGCGTAGAGCAAGGCCATTTAATTTTTGCTGTAAAATATCAGGATGCATTTGCCAAGAAGTTTCAGCTGGCAAAAAAAAAAAAAAAAAAAAAAAAAAATTTTGGACTGGATCTGTTTTTCTGCCCATGGTAGGGGCCTGGCATTCACCTGGCAGGCTTACTGCCTGCTCCTCGCCCCAGCCCAGCTTTTGGTGGCCTCATGTTTTGCATGAACTGGTCACCTAAAACCAAAAGAGAGCAGTCGGGCATTATAGGGGCTTGAGCTTCTGTGCTTTGAAGTTGTGGTTTCATGCACCTAGTGAGCTGCTTGAACAGTTCAGTGCCGCTAAAAGTCTCATCCTCTTTTTCCCGGCTGTGAGGTCCTGCATGGTCTGTGGCTCTCTGTGAGCCAGTTCAGCTCACTCATCCTGCAGAAACCATCTGCTTGCTGGGTTGGGTCTCTGAGCTGAGCCAACAGCTGACTGGAACATTAGGAGGGAAGGAGGGGAAAAGGAGGAGAGAGAGTGCGACGTTTCTTCTTTAGGGGGAACTATTACATTATTTCTCTCCTTCTGAGGAGCTTCACTATGCAGCAAGCATCCTGCTAAACTCACTCTTCATGTATCACTGTGCCCCAAATGCAGCAGTTACAAGCTTCTTGAAGCACCTTTAAGTGTTTGACTCCTGAAAGAAAAAGCTGAGCTAGACTTACTGGGTTTGGATAGTGAGCTTTAAGTGGCTCCACATGGGGCTGAGAAAGGCAGCTTGTGGCACCAGGCATGTCCTAAGGTGAAGTAGAAGCCCAGATACATGTCTGACTACAACTTGTTCTAAGGACTGATTTTTTTCTTTCCAATGACTGTTTGCTATAAGGCGCATAAACAGGACTGGAAGGATGGACTAAAAAGTCTTCCAAACTCAAAATGGTCTCCCCTTGCTGTCTCTCCTTCCAACCCACTTTATGCAGGATCATTGGTTGCTTGCAGAGAAAAATGTTGCCTCTGATAACTGGAGTACAGATGATTAGATTGAGCTGTATTTCAGCTTGCCGATCTGTTACTCTCCTCTGAGGCCTGGCTTTTTTCTTGTTTCAATTTGTTTGTTTATTCTTTCTGGAGAAATCAGCTGGACTGTGTTAGCAACTAGCACAAAGGAGATAGAGGCTAATTACCATAATTACTACTGGAGGGCCAAGCTGGTAGATTTACAACCTGAGGCCACTTCAGGAGCAAAAGATAGAGAAATGTTTAGTGCTCTGGATTCTCAGAAGTTTGAGAAATCCTGTGTTTGCAACGTTTCAGGGTTCTGGGATAGAATTAGGGACATCAGTGAATAAATAATGATTCTATATATTTTTGTATGTGGTTTCATTTTGGTGGGTTTTTTTCATTTTATTTTACTGATTTAGGAGTGAAGGACGACTATTCTCTGCCTAAAAAAGCAGAGACAAAATAAGATATTCCCTTGGCAGATGGGAGATGTTGCAACCTTTTGAAGCTGGGAGGTGTGCAGAGGCACCTTTCAAGCACCCTGGCTGAATTAACCATTGAGTTGTAACATACAAGGAGGCAGCACTGGCAAATATATCACTATATATTAAGCAGTCATGACCATTTAGAAAGGATCCTTGTCCTCTTGTCGTGTGTTAAATCTGTTCAGAGAACATGTAGCTGGTCTGGCCTGTTAGGCTGCACATAAACATATTTTTGAAACAAGCTAAATGGGACACCGTGAGCATCGTGTCAGTGCCTCTTTGGCATGTACTATCTCCCATGCAGAGCTCTTGCCAGGTCCTTCCTGTGGGGAAATTAGGCTGTGGTGGGTACATACCACAGTCTTACTCTGATAAGAAGACACAGTATTGTCAGGACAGTCCCATGACCTGGGAAGTGTTTATAGAGTATTGCCCTACAAGGAAGTTGTGCAAACCTACAGTCTTAGATTGTGATTCCCACCAGAGTAAACAAGGGCAGTTTTGGGTATCCACACAAGTGGAATTATTGGCACCTCAGGAACTTCCAGGCACAACAGATAAGACCTTAAATAAAGAGTTAGGTGGCTGCTGAGTAGGTTTCTCATTTAATCTAAATTCCAATTCTGCAGTTAGGCCCCTAAAGTCTGTCGAAGCCTTTGAGGGAGAAAGAGCATTTAATAGTATAAATCTGCAGTAGCATTTTGATTACTAGTGGACTCAAACATCAATGCCAGGGGAACTCGTGTCAGTTCACAAGGTAACAATGAGGGGGACAGTGTTCACCAGCAACATCAGAAATGTGTCGTGGTGACAGAACAGTTTCGCAGGAACACAAAGGAATGACTCCAGGGGAGTACTAATAT